CAAGTAGCTCACCGTGGGGAGCGCCGATCCTTTTTGTCAAGAAAAAGGATGGTTCACACCGGATGTGTATTGATTACCGAGAGTTGAACAAGCTGACGGTCAAGAACCGTTATCCACTTTCGAGGATCGACAATTTATTCGATCAGTTGCAGGGGACATCTTGGTTTTCCAAGATTGATTTGAGATCCGGATATCACCAGATGAGAGTAAGCGAGGAGGATATTCAGAAGAAGGCCTTTAGAACTCGTTATGGGCATTACGAGTTTGTGGTGATGCCTTTCAGGCTCACCAACGCACCGGCAGTGTTCATGGATCTCATGAACCGGGTGTGCAGGCCTATGTTGGACCGGTCGGTGATCGTGTTCATCGATGACATCTTGGTGTATTCGAGGTCCAGAGAGCAGGATGAGGAGCATCTGCGAGACGTTCTTGGGGTATTGAGGTCAGAGAGGCTATATGCCAAATTCTCCAAGTGTGATTTCTGGTTACTAGAGGTCCAGTTCCTGGGACACCTCGTTAATCAGAATGGGATATTGGTCGATCCGGCCAAGATTGAGGCAGTTATGCGATGGGAGGTGCCGAGATCCCCATCCGAGATCAGGAGTTTTCTGGGATTGGCCGGCTACTATCGGAGATTTATCAAGGATTTCTCCAAGATTGCGGTTCCTCTCACTAGATTGACCCAGAAGGGCGTTACTTTTGTTTAGGGACCTGAGCAGCAGGCATCATTCGAGACTCTTCGCCAGAGATTGTGCGAAGCTCCGGTGTTAGCCCTTCCGGAGGGAGTGGAGGACTTTGTGGTCTATTGCGATGCGTCTATTTCAGGGATGGGTGCAGTGTTGATGCATAGGGGTCACGTGATAGCATATGCGTCAAGGCAGCTGAAGCCTCATGAGACTAGGTATCCCACCCAAGATTTGGAGTTAGGGGCGGTGGTGTTCGCCCTCAAGATTTGGCGCTACTATCTTTATGGTGTCCGGTGTACCATACACACGGACCATAAGAGCCTGAAGTACCTGATGGATCAGCCCAACCTGAATATGAGACAAAGGAGATGGTTGGATGTAGTGAAAGACTACGACTGTGAGATCTTATATCACCCAGGCAAGGCTAATGTGGTAGCCGATGCCTTGATTCGCATAGCCGAGAGCGCTCCGATCCGGGATATGTGTATGAGGATGAAGGTGATGACTCCAGTCTTAGATACCATCCGAGAGGCTCAGGTGGAGGCTGTGAGACCGAAGAACCGCAAGAGAGAGCTTGTGATTGGGCAGGTATTCGAGTTTGTGACGACAGTCGCGGGCTTATGACCTTCCACGGGCGGATTTGGGTGCCCTATACAGGTGGAGCTCGTCGTGTATTGATGGAGGAGGTGCATCGATCAAGATTCTCGATCCGCCCAGGGGCCACTAAGATGTATTTGGACCTGAAAAGAGACTATTGGTGGCCCTGTATGAAGAGAGACGTGGCATGGGTTGTAGAGAGGTGCTTGATCTGTCGTCGGGTTAAGGCGGAGCACCAACGTCCACATGGTCCCTTGCAGCCTTTAGAGATTCCCCAGTGGAAGTGGGAACAGATTTCTATGGAATTTATCACCAAGTTACCAAGAACTGCGCGTGGGGTTAACGCGATATGGGTGATTATGGACCGGCTGACGAAGAGTGTTCACTTCCTCGCTATCAGTGAGAGCTCTTCTGCAGAGAGACTAGCAGAGATTTATGTGAGAGAGGTGGTAGCTCGGCATGGAGTGCCAACCTCGATAGTGTCAGATCGAGACGTGCGCTTTACTTCCATGTTCTGGAAGAAATTTCATGAGGAGTTGGGTACCCGGTTACATTTCAGTACCGCATACCATCCGCAGACAGATGGGCAGAGCGAGCGCACGATTCAGATGCTTGAGGACATGCTGCATGGATGTATTATGGACTTCGGAGGAAGTGGGGACACTTACTTGCCCTTGGCTGAGTTTTCTTACAACAACAACCACCATTCCAGCATTGGTATGCCTCCCTTTGAGCTTCTATACGGGAGGAGGTGTCGGACTCCCATTTGTTGGGGAGAAGTAGGGCAGAGAGTGATGGGTGGCAATGAGATAGTGTTGAAGTCGACTGAGCAGATTCAGTAGGTCAGACAGAGGTTACTGATGGCCCAGAGTCGCCAGAAGAGTTATCCAGACATGCGACGATCCGAGCTAGAGTTTCAGGTTGGAGATTTTGTCCTCCTGAAGGTGTCCCCATGGAAAGGGGTGATCCGATTCAGGAAGCGGGGCAAGTTGGGGCCCCGATACATCAGTTCTTTCAGAGTGACCGCCAGAGTGGGTAGGGTAGCATATCGGTTGGAGCTACCTGTAGAGTTGATCCAGATCCATAACATCTTCCACGTGTCCCAATTGAGGAAGTGTGTAGCCGATGAGACAACTGTGGTACCATTAGAGGACATTCAGGTTGATGCGATCCTAAATTATATTGAGAGACCGATTGCGATTTTGGATCGAAAGGTGAAGGTTCTGAGGAACAAAGAGGTGCCCCTTTGTTCAGGTCCAGTGGCAACATCGGAAGGGGTCCGAGATGACTTGGGAGTCGGAGTCTGAGATGCGAGAGCAGTATCCAGAATTATTTCTAGAGCATGACTTTCGAGGGCGAAGTCTGATTCTAGTGGGGGAGAATTGGAATATCCCAAGTCCAGGTTTACCTTATAAACCCTTGTTCTTTTGCTACTTTTCAAGTTTAGCCCTTATAGAGAAAAAGGTGGCAAAATAAGTACGCGGGGCGTACGCGAGTGTACGCTCAGTGTACTCATGTGCGTGCTTTTGATGCGGAAGCCACCTAGTACGCTGGGCGTACCAGAGGGTACGCTCGGCGTACTAGGTCTAGAGTGAAAACCCTAATTTAGGGTGTGTCTCTATATAAAGGATATGATGGCCTCATTCCTGGCCACCATCTTCAAACAAACAACCCTCTAAAACCCTAATCCTCGTTCTTGAGCTTGTGTGTGTCCATTTGAGAGCCTTTATGTGATTTTGTGTGTTCTTGGAGTGAAGAAGGAGCTTTGGAGAAGAAGCAGTGAGAGTCCAGGCCTTGGATTCGAGCATATCTGAGTTGGGAGCTTCATCTAGAGGTATAAAGCTCCAAGCTTTCTCACTCTTTTGATTTGTGCATCATAGTAGAATATTTTAGGGTTTTGTCCTAAAAGTTGGAGACTTTATGAGATATTTGAGCTCCAGAGTCTATGATCAACCCCTTTGAGTGTATTTAGTGGTGTAGTGTCATAAAAATCTAGACTTGGACGTTAGAATCAAGCCATGCATGAGATGTGAGCATTTAGAGATAAGAAAGTGAGAGTTTTGTGTGTTTGTGACCTTATCAGCCATGCAAAGGCTTAAAGTCACTGACTTTATGGAGTAAGAGCTATTAGGGAGTCCAGATCTGTGATATGAGCCAAGGTCTCAACTGATTAAGAGCAAATGAGTAGAAAGAGTGAAACTGGGACGTACGTTGAGCGTAATCCCAATACGCGCCGTGTAGGGGTCGAGCATCCCCGATGCCTGCATGGCAGCAGAGTACGCCCATCGTAGAAAGCTGGTATGCGTAGTGTACGCTCTGCCATTGACTTTTGGTTGACTTTTAGGGTTTGGTCAATTTGTGGACTATTAAGGCCAAGGAGGGGTAAATGGTCTTTTATCCTTCTGTGAGTTTGTAGAAGGGTTAATCTAGCCTCTTGAGAGTCGTTATTAATTAGGGATAATTATCATATGTTTTAGGCGGAGGCTAGACCGGTGATTCGAGTTCGAGGTTATCCGATTCTTACGAGGTGAGTCTTCTCACTATACTTACCATGAGTGGTATCTTTCTGTGACCAAGGTGTCTTATGTGCTTACCTGTGTTTTGAAATATTCTGCATTATGTCTTTGTGATTTATGCTGAGTATTGTTATTATGAGCTTATTGAGTTAGGACCGGAGGGTCCACCCGAGTTGTGGGACCGAAGGTTCTCCACTGAGACATATTGACCGGTGGGTCGTATTGAGTTAGCCTCGAGTGGCTAATGTGATGTGTGTGGTATTTTGGGGAACTCACTAAGCTTCGTGGTTACCGTGTTACGTGTTTTGTGTTTCAGGTATTTCTCAGGATCACGAGAAGGCTCTGACTTGATTGTACACACATCTGCGTTGGAGATATGTTTTTGAAGGATCCTGGATTTGTGATAAACAATTTTGAAATATGTGTTGACAAATTGATACTTGTGATTTTTGAGAAATTGTGGCATGTGTTTTATTATGTTTTGAAATGAAAAATTTGGTTTGAAAATTTCGGCGTTACAATATGGTTTCTGTTTTAATATATATTAGAGATAACTAGGTTATTGTGATTATTATTTGGTAAAACCAAAAAAGTTGTTTATTTTGGCTTATGAACTAACTTATAAACTAGCTTTTGATAAACTACTTTAAATAACTTTTGATAAACTTATAGAGTTTTCACAAAAATATTCAAAATATACTTTTAATTATATTTATTCTTTTTTTAGTTATATATCTGGATGTTAATTTAAATTATTTTACATTAGGATTTAGCTTATAAATTATCTTTCTATCAAACAGCATTAATTTATAAATTCACAAGTTAACTCTGCCAACAAATTCAAAGCTATAGTATGTCATTGGCTATTTTGAAAAATAACAAAAACTTAGGTCATTTTGTAAGAAAAAGTAAAAGAAATTTGTCTTTTTTCTCTATTTGCAAACTTTTTCTAATTATAAATTTAATATTTTCTTTTCCAAAATATTGTATTTTAATTATCTTAAGAATAATATATTGATAATATTTTAAACTACAAAAGAAGATACTCGAAAATTTATTTATAAATAAATTAATGGAAAGTTTTTAAGTGGTTCCATCTTCTTTCTCTAGTTGATTCATCAATAAATACTAGCTCTAATGTCAACATCTCTCCATTTTCCATCAAAATTCCAAACACACACAATCTCTCTTTAAAAGGAAAATGAGCAGAAGAGTGAGTTTCAGCCCAGACGTAGACGACATGCCATCACCACCACCGGTATACTTCACCAAACACGGCGGTGACAGAGCCAGCACGACGGAGCCGATGATGAGAATATGGACTTTCCGTCCACCAAAAAGCTCTGGTTTCTCCGCCATGAGATTCCTCGGAAGAATCAAAGCCAAATTCGCAAAAGCACTGGGTTTCGTTTCATCTTCAAGATCGTCATCTTCACGTAGTTGCACTTTAGAAAGATCAAAATCTTATGTGGAAGCATTAGATTCTCATCGAGCTCAAGCCATTGAAGACTGTATTCAGTTCTTGAATTCTTCTTCTTCTTCCTCTTTTCAGAGGTCAAAATCACTTTCTTCTTTTTCCTATTAATATTCCATTCATTTTCCTTTTTAATTTTCTGTTGTTAGCCTCCACAAGTTGTAAATCAAGAATTAGGAAAAACAAAATACTTTTTTTTTGTGATTTTTAAATTTTTTGTTTTATTTTAGTATGTGTAATGTGTACACCAGCCTACCATGTATGGCGAGAAAAGCCTTTGAGAAATTAGAAAATTGCAAGTAGAGGAGCGGAAATGTTTGACCGGTAAACACTTAAATTTTGATCTTTTATGCATACTTATTGTGTTATATTTATAGAATAATATCTATGTTATTTTTCAATAAAATGATACGGTTATTTTGATATATTAGCTAAAGAATTAATTGATAATTGAAATGCTAGCTTTTAGCTCAAAAGCTAATCATAAAAAATGAAGTCTAATAAAAACTGGCTAACAAGTATTTGAAAAATATAAAATAATATTTAAAAGAACATGTTTTTGTTTTTGATAATTAATTAATAATATATTTAGAAAAAAAATTAAAATTTTTCTAAAAACCTAATCTAAGTAGTTTTTTAACTTTTTTTTTATTATTATTATAAACTACTTTCTATCTCCGACAAACATTACAATTTAAAAAGTTTCAAAAAATAAATTTGTTTATCAGTTAATTATAACTCCAAGAGATTGTATATATCACAGCCAAAAATGATATTATTTTTAACTTGTTCAATCACTTATTTTATTTGTGTCTAACAAATTTTTTATTTTATTCATATAAATATATTATAAGTAGAAAATACACAAACCAAAACAAGATAAGCAAAAAAAAAAAAAAAAGGTAGAGACCTTCATCCCCTTTAAATATTGTAGTTACCGAAAAAAAGTTGTAAGTTTCTTTCACATATTATAGCTCATATATAATAGATTAATACAGTAGTTACCAAAACATTCTCTTTGGTAAAAGTAAAATATTAGAAAGCATATAGAAACTTGGGATTTATTTTTGTAGAATACCAGGAAATTAAAGAAACATCAATGTATGATTATATTTATGGCAATTCACTCGATGATACAAATTTGTAGGATTCATTACCCCATCTTCTAGTTCTTAGTCGTCGCTGACATGTCCCTATCCCAGCACGTAGCAATATGTTCTTAAATCGTTTTTTATTGATATTTTGACAAGTTCTTGGTTGTTAAATGTTCTTTTATAGTCATTATGTATGTCAGTATAGTATGTGTACGTAACAATCATGGCTCACATCAGATATAAATATGAATTGTAAGGATTGTAAGGTAGCTTTAGTCAATTAATTCTATAAAATTAATAAAGAAAATCATAATGAAATTTTAATTTAGAGTTGTACTAACTTTTTACCCCCCTTTAAAAATACTTGACAAAAGGTTGTATTCGGTTAAAAAAACAATTAACATGGATAAGGTTTTGAATTAGATAATATTATTGTATTCCATATGATGCTTCAATTGGATAAATTATATATGTGATGGTTATGCATGAAGGTCAAATAAATCGAATGCTTAGAGCATGTCGCATGATACCAATATAATTCGAGAATAAGTCATGGTGTGACTTACATAAACATTCTAAAGTACTTGCGAGAACTGAAAAAATATTCCTAATTTGCAGAGTATTTGAAAGAAAGTTGTGTTTAAGTTGTTACACATGTGGTAAACTTCCAAATAGATTGAGAAGATTCTCAATCACAACCGACCATGTACTCATTTTAAATGAAGAGAAATTACATGGATAGTAGTTCCATGTAGACTATAATCACAGTTACATATCAGAGTTAAAGTACATTGTTGTTAGAGGAACCACATACTAAGATGCTTAATGTATAGTTCATTATGACTATGAGTAATCTCATTATGCAAGTATTGGTATCTAAGTCATATTTAAGCATATAATACATTCTGAATGATATATATATATATATATATATATATATATATATATATATATATATATATATATATATATAACTGAAAATGTTTGTATGTAACACCCAGAATCAGAAAGACCAAGAAAGGAAAGGAAACCCTAAGTCAAAGGGGTCAACTCGTCGAGTCTAGGGAAGAACTCGACGAGTCGGAGCGGGTTCCGTGTCAAAGATTAAGTGACCGACTCGGCGAGTGGACTCGGCGAGTCTGGTCTGGGTTTGGAAACCCTAATTCCGGGACTTGGTACCCTATTTAAGCATCTTATTCCCTTCCCCTAGGGCTCATTTGCGGCCCCTATTGTCCAGAACTCGAAACCCTAGCCACCCAACTCCATTGTTGAGCTAGTTCTTGCCTTGAGAGTGAATTGAAGCTTGGAGAAGGAAGAAGGACCTTGGTGGTGCAAGAAGAAGCTATAGATCCAGAGTTGGGGTAGCATTTCAGACCATTTAGAGGTAAAAAGCTTATACCTTGACTGTTAATCATCTAGATCCCCTTTGTAGCATAGATTTTGTCACATTTGGACCATTTCCAAGGTCAATCCGAACATTGAGCCATTGAGGACGAAAAGGACTTAAGATCTAAGCATTTATGAGCTTTAGAAGCTCTGAGGGGCAGCTTTACCCAGCCATGGCTTCATTTCATGACCTAGGCCTTCTTTGTAGCTTGGATTAAGTGTTCTAGCCTCATAATACCTTGCATGCACGTAAAATTAGCAACTTTACGTGTAATGCTAGCATTAGAAGTCCAGATCTATGGGTTGAAGGTGTTGCAATGGACTGTAATCGACAGAATAGAGATGTCACAAGGTGGACTCGGCGAGTCAGTTCATGGACTCGGCGAGTCGGGTCGCAAACCCAAACCCTTTTGTTTATGATTCGGGTCAGTGAGTGAAGTTAGTAAAGGATTCAACCAGTCTGGGTCCGTAATGGACATGAAGATCATAGTACTTGACGAGTTCGAAGAGGAACTCGGCGAGTCCAAGACAATCTTCTTTTAGTTATGAAGATGAACTCGACGAGTTGTTCATACAACTCGGCGAGTCATGGCCTAGATATTCATACGATGATGATGAACTCGATGAGTTCAAGGATGAACTCGGCGAGTCGGTTGAAGATAGTCCCGAAGTGTTAGATGAAGGAGAACTCGTCGAGTTCTCGCTAGACTCGACGAGTGGAGTCGGGGTTGTTTTGGGATTTGAGGAGCATGGACTCGGCGAGTTGGCAGAACAACTCGACGAGTCGAGTCAACTGGAAGGTTGACTTTGACCAGAACTTTGACCTTGAGAAGGACTTTGACCGGAGTTGACTTAGTTGACTTCTTGAGGACAGTTAGACTAAGTGTTACTATTATTTGGTATTGGTAGCTCGGGGAGCTAGAGGAGCAGCAGTTCAGAGAGTTGTTGGATAGCAGCCAGAGGGTTATCAGCAGTTTCAGCAGTACGAGGTGAGTCTCCTCACTGTTTGTATGGGTTTACGGCCACAATGCCGGCCCATTTAGTTTATGTATGGTAGGAAGACCCGGGGGTTAGCTCTAGGCAACATGTATGAAAGACTAGGAGGTGGCTGCTGGCATACTGTATGTTGAGTAGCCTAGTAGAGTAGTATGTATAGTTGTCTTTGTGATGCTTGCATGGAAGACCAGGGGGGTGGCCCTTGGCACTTGTCTATAAGACCCAGGAAGTGGCCCCATGCCTGACAAGAAAGACCACGTGCGGCCCATGGCAAAACAACAAGACTATGTTTGGCACATAGCACCTTAGTTGATTATGGATATGTTTGTTATGTATGGCTCATGGTTACGTATGGCATGTATGGATCAGTTGATATGTATGGTATGTGGTATCTGGGGAACTAACTAAGCTTCGTGCTTACGGTTTTCAGCTATTTGTTTCAGGTACTAATGTTTTTCCAAAGAAGGAGCTCAGGGCGATCGCAGCGCATCACACCATGTTTTCCACACTAGATGATCTTTGGGATTTAAAACTCTGATAATTTTTTGATTAAGAATGTTATTAAATGATTGGGCAAAATTTATTAAGCGGTTCTAATTAACCAAAACGAAATTTTTGGCCTTGAATTTTGGAATGTTACAAGTTGGTATCAGAGCCTTGGTTTGAGGGATTCGGGCACACTCTCGGGTGTGTGTCTGGACTCAAACTGAGGACTTGATATGAAAATTTTCAAAAGGAACTTGAAAAGTATTGAAAAGAGTAAGGAATTTTGAAAAGAGCAAGGTCTGTAATGCGTGCAATCGGCCGAGCTCAAGTAAGTGGTTCCCAAAATACCAATACATGTTAGATATGTGATATGTTATGATTATGTGATTCGCATGCTACATTATGGCTAAGGATCTAGGAGAGATGCCTTTGTATGCTTATGTGAACTTGTAGAATTGCATGCTAGAACTGATCAGCCAGTAGTAGGATGACCTGTTTAGGTTATGCCTGATTGTATGAGCCCTTGAATTGCATGCTAGTGTAGATTCCTAATAAGAGGATAGAATGGCTTGTTTGGTTAGATTTTCCGTTTGTCTGAATGTTGCTTGCTTTCTGCTTTGTGGGACTTTAAGTGGTGGGAGTTAGCTACTAGATGAATGCGTTAAGTCACTTGTGATTAGGGTTGAATAATCTCAGAGTGCTGGACTTGACCCTATTGCGCAGCTCTTGTCTGAGTCTAACCGTTGTAGGGATGAGTCCTTTACTCGAAGGATTATCCGAGCCTCGTTACATGTGATGGTATTCATATAGTGGTTAATTGGCATTATGAAGAGTCTTTCAGCAGCTGAGGACTAGGTTTGGGATTGGAGATTTCCCTAGGGTAAGCCTAGGATGAGATGATTAGCAGAGAGCAGCAGTAGTAGAAGGGAATTGGTAAAGTCGAAGCAATCCTTGAGGAAAGTACGGATAGATGTGGAAGGTAGTATGGGCCCGTATTTACTGAAAGCAGAGGATCCGTACTCGAGTCAAGGAGGGCCAAGATAGAACCAAGAACCTTGTAGTATGTGAGAACTTCTGAGGTAACGTACGACCCTGACAATTATATGTTTCGTTTCAGAATGGTGATGATTACGCAACACGGAGCGGGAG